GGTTTTTTTTCGGAATCCGTTTTACATTGAGAAAAGCGCTAAAAACAAGTTAAAAATTTTTAAGAATGCTCATAATAATATTAGTATTAGGAATCCGAAATTACTACCTAGTTGGCTTACTCTTTAATAACCATGAGCAGTTAAGAAAAAAAAAAAGACAATGATATAGGATTTGTCTACATATGACCATTAGCAATAAAGATTTTGCCCAATTTGTCCAATTATCCTTGCAGGTAAAATCACCCTGCACTGTACCTCAATAAGCACAAAAGGAATATTTCTGTGACTTTGTATAAAGGTGTGGCCTAAATAAGGTAAGGGAGGGGGGTTTAGCTTATTTAGGCCACAGGTGTGGCCTAAATAAGGTAAGGGAGGGGGGTTTAGCTTATTTAGGCCACCTGTGGCCTAAATAAGGTAAAGGAGGGGGGTTTAGCTTATTTAGGCCATATGTGGCCTAAATAAGGTCACCCTAGAAAAAAAGGTGAAGAGAAAATTAACAGATGCCAAAGCACAGGCAAAGGCAAGGGGGAAAAAGGTTGCAAAGTTAGAAAAGCTAATGAGTGAGGAAGGGGAGAAAATTAAACATATGCCTGGGAGACCTAGACTTGAAGAGAAAATGGAGGGCCTTGCAGAAGCCATATATAGCATCGTTGTGCCAGAAAGGAGCAGCTGATGAGTGCAGAAGAACTAGAAAATAAATACAATTAAAACAGTGGATGACTTAAAAAGAGCCTTACAAGAAAAGGGTTATATACTACTGACACGTTCTGGCTTTATTTCAGACTCATTCCTGAAATGTCTGAAGTACTGAAGTATCATTTCAGTACAGTCAACGTGAAATTTTGTTGGCCCCAAAATAACCAAAGAAAGCCTCACATTGACGGCCACTTTGCATCAGCCACGCACTGTAAAATGTGTCAAGGAATTAGCTTGCTTCATTGGCGGGGGCAAAGTGTTTTTTTTTGTCACAAGATGATAAGGCAAGGGTGCCAATTGGACTGCCCATATCCAAAAAGCAGTCTTTTGTGTTCATGCATCTAGACTATAAAGTGACCCTCCCTGACCATCGGGGAAAATCATAAACTCATTCCTTCTGTCTATGCCTGTTGTTTGCCAGACAAAGACGGAAGGATTGGGTACAGTGGACCCACTTATGTTGCCATTCAAAGTCCAGGCACAATTAAAGTTCAGCTGAAAGTCACATTGCTGTCTTTCAGAATATCTTGACTGAGGATTCTTTTAAAGAACATGCTACCATTGGTGATGAAGTGAACCCTTTGGTCTTCATTTTCGTTGATGGTGGCCCAGATAAAGCCTCCAAAAAAACAGAACTCCCCTGACGTGGGCGGCTACTTTTAAAGAGCTCAATTTTGATGCATGTTTTATTTTGTTCTCATGCTCCAGGTTCCAGTGGCCATTTTCTCGCTAACTTTACCTTTGACCAAAATCACAAAAATCTCAAATTCTATTCGAGACAAATGGGTACTTTTTTCACCACGGCATGCTTTTAGATGATACATAGCCTCATAATTCCCAAAACCAAGGAGCACCTGGTTCCATCACGTCTTGATAAAAACTATTAAGACAACGTTAGAAAAAGGTACATGTTCCGTGGCAAACATAACCAAGGCCATGGGCGCTGGGCAAATGCAAAATTGCTAATAGACATAAGTGAAAATAAGAGGGAGAGCAACGTAAAAACAAGCTCAGAACGCTACCGGCAAATTAAGCAAAATAGCAGACTGCTAACCACTATACTATCACCATCAGGGAAGACAACTTAGGACAATACAAAAAACAAACAAAAAAAGGATCCCTGACATAATGAAGACACACAGTTTGTCAAATAAACAGCTACAGAAACATGACTAACATAGTCTATGGTACAGTGGTCAAGTGCTTTGCCACTGCATGCACAAGACATGGGTTCGATTCCTATAAGGGGGAGGAGTTTTTCAAGTATCTCCGTCTTTCTGCTGGGACGACGCATCGCTCTTAGCCTGAAATAACCTGCCGACTAAATTTTGTCAATAGGGGTGTAAACACACACACACACAAATTACAAACAGAAAGATGACTGGTGAAGCACAAACAGAAAAGACACGGTTACATATAATCTCGGCATCATACTTCCCACCACCAACAGCACACTATGAAAGACATTAAAAAAGTGCTCACAATGTAAAATGTTTCATAAATGGTGGCATGAGATCTACACCTACTGCCGCATTTGAAATTCTGTCAAATGTTGAACCCCTGGGAATTCGCAGAGATAAAGCAGTTTTGGAGCTCCATGAAAGAACCAAAAGAATGTGCCCTAACCACCCAAACAGGAAATTAGTAGAAACATGGAAACCAAAGAAGCGACTTCAACATAAATCAGTGATGCATCGCATCACAGAACTATTGGAGAGCTACCATCTACCACAAAACAGTAGAGAAACCAAAAGAGCCAACCAAAACATCCCTCCCCACATTTCTATGGAAAAACCAATCATTAAAAATTATCTCAGAGACAATAGCACAAAATCTTCAGACCCAGTGAAGTTGATGCTTGCATCACATCAAACAATCGACAGCTATTCAGATGACTGGATACACGTCTATACAGACGGCTCTGCATTCAAAGGCACCACCAAAGCCAGATATGGAATACCAATACAATACCCAGATGGAAGTTCCAATGAGATCTCTGCAGCCTTTGGAGAGAAATGCAACAACTACGACGCAGAAATGATAGCAATTGAAACAGCACTATACCATCTCTGCACAGTTTTTGACACTCATCCAAACAAAACACAGAGTATAGTGATCTTCCCTGACTCACTGTCAGTCTTGCAAGCAATAGGAAATGATCACCATCTAAACGAACACTTGACACATATACTACTGTTTGGCTCCCATCATCTGATAACATTCTGTGGCGCCAACCTGGTAATGCAGTGGATTCTCGGACACTCAAACATACCTGGAAATGACAGAGCAGACACTCGCCAAAAGGGGATCTAGACGGGAACAACCCAACATTCCAACTTCATACAACACTGCAAAACAAATTATTAAAAGCAACAGCAAACAAGATTGGATGAACAGATGGGCCTTGGGAAAGACAGGTAGAGCAGTTTTCAAACATATGACTACAACAAAACGAAATGACAACATCAACCACCTACAGAGAAAGAAACAGACCACGATCTTCCGTCTACGAACAGAACATATACAGCTCAACTTTCACTTGAACAGAATAAAACCAGAACTTCCCCCAATGTGTCCATTGTGTGACTATGCATATGAGACTGTGGAACATCACCTTTATGCAACTTATGCAATGACCGTACCGTAACAATGACAAAAATAATGGGTATGGGCTATGTAGCCCAACTGGTCATTAACTTGTTCAACACACCAATGCACTGGGATTGATTATGAGTTCCATCGGATTTTCTTCTCACTCTTCAGGGAATGTGTTCCAGTAAGCCTTTGACAGGGCCCACTCTTAAAGGGACCTCCAACATAGTAACTGTATCTAGAAGGGTTTTATTTTCTTTTTAAAGTTATGTAAGAGTTCTACAGAACTTGCAACACAAATAGGTCACATAAGTGCAGAAGATTAGAGGCTTTACTACTACTAGAGTTGTTAGATTTTATAATAGTTTTATAGCACTTGCAACACAAATAGGTCACAAAAGTCCTGAAGATTAGAGGCGTTACTAAAGAGTAACATAACACCAGAGTGCCCGCCAGACATCCATTCAAGAAGTGGGTCCAAGTCAAACATAGAAAAAAGTTAAACATAATGTCCAAGATAGTGAAAGGAACTAAGGCTATTGGGGAAGTAAGCTGTACCAAGGAATGAAACAACATCTCTGATTACACCCCTTGACACAGGGTCTGAAGAAGAAGTTTTGGTTTAGTAAGGTTATATATGTGGCGCTCTTAACCGAAGGGGTGAATATCAACAGAGAAGTTGAAATGGGGAATCAGGCGTTCTCTGCTCACCTCTAAAGCCTCAACAGCACAAAGTCTGCTTCCACTATCAAGGCACCCCGGAACTGGTAGTTCACAAGAGAGTGACAAACATACAAAAGAAGTAGAGGGAAAGTGACGATAGTAAGGATGAGGGGGAAAAAAAGCAGCAGTTCCCCTATGTTGTTCCGGCACAGTGTAAGAGCATGACATAGATAAATCAGCTCATTGACAATTATACTGAGCATAAAAACATGGTTAGCCAAATGAACCTAGACTATGTACGGAAAGAGTTAACTCTTTATCTCCGGAGGGGGTTTTCCAACAATGCCCTCTTCTGGTATGAAAAATCTAAAAGTGACATGTGGGTCACTAAATTGGTTATCAAATCAAAACAAATTAACCTATTTTGACAGTTCTACATCTAATGAAACCACTCTCAGTAAAAGAGACCTGTTTTCGGCAATTACTGAAAATTAATTTTGCATCAGTGTCGTTGTAAAAAAATGTGCCAGCGCCGCTGTCAGTGGCTCACCAGCACAGAAGTTCCAACCGCAAGCCGCTAGGAGTAGCTAGCTGGAGATTAAGACAGGAAAACATATCTCTTTTCCATAAATTAGAATCTAGTCAATCTGAAACATTACAGAAAGGTGTCTTGACATGGTGGAATCAGTGCCTCCTCAGTTTTGGGGCTTATGGAGTTATATTATTAGCATAACCTGAAAGCTTGTTTATTTGCATTGCTTTGGAAGAAAATAAAAACACATCTGTCTTGAACAGATGCCAAGACTACGTTTAACGGAAGGAGGTCGGGGTCGCCTGGTGTCAGAGGTAAAAATAACAAGAAAATGCCCATCAAAGATTGGAAAATGTCCTTAGAAAATGCAAGTAATGATATTTTGTGCCTTTGATTAAAAGGTTCTTTAGTAAAAATTCACTCAGAAAGGACATAAAAGGTGTAGAACCCCCCCCCCCCCCCCCCCCCCCCAAAAAAAAAAAAACCAAAAACCCAAAAAAATTCCCAAAACAGATCGGCAAATATAGATTTCTTTAATTTCATTATTCTAAGGAGAGACTGATTTCACCACAGCACAACACAAAGCAGGAAGTAAAAGTATTCAGACACAAAAAATGCTCCACACATACATTCTACAGAAATATATGCTTAAACTACTAAATTACAATGTCAAACAGAAAAATAAATCTGTTTAAAGATTAGATTATTAACAGAAAAATCTTTTAACGCACTTTATAAATTCAGAAACGGTATACATTTCCAAGGCAGTTTAACAGCTTCACTTGATGAAGTCATCTTCATTTTGACACTCGCAGGACAGTCAGTTCAACACTTTTATTATGATTCAAAAAAGAATTCGATAAAAGACTTGGATTTCATGTCCGAAGCCTACAACGTTCAGCAGTAACCCTGAATCCTCTTACGGCACAAGGGACAGCTGCGTTTAGTCGTGCCCACGATTTTGAGGATGCACTTCTCACAAACATGCCTGTGTCTGCAAGGGTAGATTTCGACTAGCACTCGCTCCTCGAAACAAACAACACATTCCTCTTCAACAGACGTCCCGTTCCTCTTACGACGTCTCACTGTTCTGGGAGAAGTATCTCCTCCTGAGAAACAATAAAAAACAACAATCAAAATCACAATAATAACAATAATGAAAACAACAATAACTAATAATAACAATAAAATTCACAATAAAGACAACAATAATAATGTTTTAGATATATTCTGATATTATAGCCTAATATATGTGAGGCATCATGGTGAAATCAGGCGCCCATCAAAATAATGAAATCGAAGAAATCTGCGTTTTTTGGCCCATGGGCAGTTTTTATCCTTTTTTTTTTTTTACTCAACGCCTTTTGTGGCCAATTAAAAACACATTTAAGTGTGAATGTTACTGAAAAAAACATTGATCAAAGGCATAAAAAACGTAAATTTTCAGTTTCCAAGGACTCTCAGGCTATAGAAGTAACCAAACTTTGACGGCTATTTTATAGCTAATTTTTACCTCTGAAACCAGGCAAACTTGACCTCCTTCAATCGCAAGTAATTCAACTTTTATTCAGTAAAAATGGATTTTTTTCCACCAAAATGAAGGCAAACGAATAGGCTGATACCAATAAGTTAGTAACCCCATATGCCCAAAAATTGACTAGCGCGCCTGACTCCACCAAGTCGTGACACATATCACTAGCCGCGTGATTCAACCGCCTAAGTTGTATAAAAACTGTAATTTCTTTATGTTCATACGTATGAATCTGAATATAATACAGTGGAACTCGGATTCAACGAAGTCGCCGGGCCTGGCCTAAAACCTCGTTGAATCCGAGTGTTCGTTATAGCAAACACAAGAATTTGTGTAGATAATTACAGGCACTGAGCAAGTAATGTATAAAGAGAAGTCACAAGTAGTGCCTGAAATGCCTGCACATTATGATCTGTGTAAAAAAAAAGACCGATTCGTTCAAATGTACAAGCCTGTGTCATCTCCATTGTTTACCAAAAAGTTGTGTTGCTAATGCAGCAACTTTTGATTCCATAGACCAGCGCACAATTCTTTACGCAGATCTATGTCGAGACTAGCTTATCATTGTAATAATGATCAGCTACCGAGGGGAAAAATAAGACTGACACGTTCGTATTTGCGACGTTCAATGCCCGGACCGCAAGTGCGCCCCCCTTCCCCGACACGCACGCACAGCCATACGTGTGCAGGCCGCCCATCCGACCCCGACACACGCCAGAGTAGACACGTGCGCGTGCCAACAACGCATGTGTTGGTATGAAAAAAAGGACCCTGATTGGCCGCATGCAATCGGCTAAGTGAATAATGGTTCACGAAGCAGGTGCAATGGATAGTTTCCGGGAATAGACAAAGTTCATTCAGGTAGAAAAATGAGCGAAGCCGCGTCTGCGGGGGATGTTCACCCTGGAAGCGACCTCGTTGAATCCGAGCTCGCTGCTCTTTAAGTGCTCGTTGAATCCGGGTTATTCTAATTGATTTTAAAGAAGAAAAAAAAACGGGGAATCCATCTCATCTCGTTAAATCTGAGTTCTCGTTGAATCTGAGCTCGCTGAATCCAACTTAACTGTATAATAAGATGCAGGACAATGGTCCATAACAAAATCTTTTTTAAAAAAGCTTTCTCACATAAGTCACTGGACACAAGCAGTTTAGACCTACCAAAATCTGTGCGATTCAACCGCACAAAAGCAATTCATAATAGTTTTAAGAGTAATTATAAAGTTAAGAGTAATTATTTCAGTTATTTGGTTGGGTCTTCTGAGGTGGTACTGTTATTGGGCCCATGGAGTTGGTAAAAAAGACCATTCCTCTTAACATTCAATTTGTACTAGATGTTTTTGTTCAGTGTGTATCAATGGCAATGAACATTTGTAACAACTGAGTCCTTTTTGTTTCAGCCAGGTCTGAGTGGTCCGGAAATCGAACATCAAAGATAATGTTTTGTTTTCTGAAAACGTTCAGGATTATCCATAAGCACATAGACCATATCATTTTCAGGGACCTTCTGCTTGTACTGTGCGTGCTGTCCACTTCTATTTGTGTTTTGTTCCTTTTCAATGTATTTGTCCTATCTAGTGCAAATGTCGATGAGTACATTTGACAAGATAGCGTTTGGTCTGATAACTACAGCAATGAACATAGCATATGTATTGTCATTAGGCTCCTGCAGGAAGTTACAGACACAAGAAGAGCATTCATTGGCAATCAATGGTCCTTCTCCTTCTTGCAAAATGTGACAATTCACATCTTTGGTTTCCGAATTTTAAAGAATATAGACAGCTAATTTGGTCCTGTTATGCGTAGTCTAAACAGCCAAAATGCACTGCTCACAGCCGAACGCTCCGTATCCCGAACTCTAGCATGGAGATCATCAGGAGAGAATGCGTCGCTGTTTCGGGCTCTTCCTCTCTACAGCTTTTCTGACGCACCGAGCCCCCTCACCGATGTGAGGTCTCCATGATACTTCGACTGTTTTCCTCTGCTGCCAACTTTAGGATTCATTCCAGCCTGCGTCCTCTCGCTTCAACCAGATCCAGTGACTGGCTTTCTCTGCTGTCTCCTGAAGGGAGTTTGTGAGTTCGTTGCTTTTCTTTGCAGTAAGTCCTGCCACTCTCATCCATTTACGGGCGCTTGTTGCTACAAAACCTCTGCATCCTACCTCTACCGGAAAATGGGTTGCCTTCCATCCTGCCTCCTCACATTGTTCGACGAGTGCCTCTTTACGGTTTTCTCTCCGCTCATGAGCGGCATAGATACAGTGGAAACCTGATATAACAGGGATGGTGGGAGTAGAGAAAATGTCCTGTTATATCCGATCCCTGTTAAATCAGAAATGCAAGGAAAGTAAGTAGTAAGCATTTGTGGACTAATCCAGCTGTAGTTATTCATGGGTAGTTTCCTTTGCCACAAGTACCCACGAACAGGGGTTTTGGCACCAACTTTCTCCTAGCCTCCTTAAACCGCATCAGAAAAGCTTGGTCCACAGCATCTGCATCAGGTAGTCTCATCTTCTTTCGATCCAGAGCAAACTTTCCATTAGGGTATGCTGCCACTATCTTCTCTCTATCCTTGACAATGGTGTAAATCGACCTTTGTGGAATGTCGAACTGACGACAAATCTCTGCCAGTGGAGCTTGCTTTTTGTCAAGAGCCTGGATTATTTCGAATTTTTTTGGTCAATTGAAAGACATTTTCTCTTGCGCTTGACTTCGTAGGTGACAGTAGACACATTACGCAAACGTTGCATGTGCTTGCAGTGGCATGGCTTGCATGGGCTTGCTTCATCACTGCTTCTCTCTCTCTCTCTCTCTCTCTCTATCTCTCTCTCTCTCTCTCTCTCTCTGTCTGTCTGTCTGTCTGTCTGTCTGTCTGTCTGTCTGTCTGTCTGTCTCTCTCTCTCTCTCTCTCTCTCTCTCTCTCTCTCTCTCTCTCTCTCTCTTTATCTCTCTTACTTTTTACACATTGTTAGCGAGCCTTTGTCCCTGCTATAACCGGTTGGGCTCCGATGGGGCCCTGTTATTGCCGATAACTTTAAAAGAGACAAAGAGTAGGAAAAAACGGGGATTTAAAAAATCCCTGTTATTACCGGATCCCTGTTATTACCGGGCCTGTTATATATGGTTTCCACTGTATTGTCCTCGTGGGGCACCGTGAGCTCTACCAAGTGCACCTCTTTGGTTTTTTTCCTCCCATAACACAATGTCTGGCTTTTTTGTAGTTGGAATGGGAAAGAATCTCTCAAAGCCCTTTAAGTCAGCGGCTACCTCCCATGTGCCTCCACTCTGGTCTTCCATGGCTTCGTTCGCTTTCTTTCTTTCGGTAACCTTGATTCCTTGCGGAACGAACGCAATCTTGGTGAGTCCATGCTTCTGTATCTTGGGGGCATATTTTCCTTCTTCCACCTGTTTTGTCGCCATTGTCGTGAGCACTTTCAGCACCTCATTGTGCCTCCAGGTGTATCTGTTAAGAGCCAGGTTGCAGTTTGACAAAATATGCTTCATGGTTCCTAGCTTACCGCATCTACACTTGTTGTCCTCCTGTACCTTCCATCTAACAAGGTTCACCGGTGAAGGCAGAACATCATACGAAGACCGGAGAAGAAAGCTTAGCCTTGCATGATGCATTCCACTTCCAGATGTCACTCTACCCGACTTTTCTTTCCACTACATGCTCTTCCCATCTGGTCATTTGTCCTTGCTGGCTACACTGGATGAGATGAATTTCTCGCCTCTCTGCCTCCATCTTTTGCATATTTCTTGTTGCAGCTTTTCTTCTGTCTCGCTGAGACATTTTCCTGAAAGATCTAAAGTCGCCATTACCAAGCCCTAATCTGTCAGGTTGCGCTGGACCGACAATGTCGCCATGCTCCAATGCAGAGAGGATCTCCTCAGCTGCAACTTCTGCCTTCCACTTTCTGGCTGTTTTGACATCTGGAGGTTTTCCACTGATCTCCTTATCCCTTGATTCTCTCAACATCAAAACGGTTCTAATCTTGCCTGCTTTGTAGATCTCCACAATTGACGTGAGAGGTAGTTGAAGCGCACCTCTATGTCTGTACAGGGATGACGTGTTAATAGTACGGGGTAGCCCCAGCCACTTCCTGATGTAGCTGTTACACTTTCTTTCGATCATCTCAACTCTTGACAGAGCAACTTCATACATTGTCAGTGGCCACGCCAATCGAGGGTAGAGGGCAAACTGTAGACACCATATCTTATTCTTTCCTGGAAGCTTTGTCTGGTCAATTGCTTTCAGCCCATTTTCAGCCTGCTTCATGATTTCCACGCCTTGACTCCTATCAGACAGAGTTCCTGAGTACCACCGACCCAAACTCTTCACAGGTTGTTCTTTTACTGTGGGCATTTGTTCCCCTGCAATTGTAAACTTCAGTTGCTTCTGTTTTCCTTTGTGAATAGTCAGGCTTCTAGATTTCTTAGCTTTAAACTTCATCCTGGCCCAGGTGATAAGCTTATCAAGCCGATTCAACACACTTTGCATTGTGTCTTCATCTCTTGTCAGTAGGGTCAAAGGCTTTCTTTGGTGATCTGACCTTTGCTTCTTCTTCAGAGCATTTTGCAC